ATATTTTTTTTTTTCCTGGCTAGTCTGGAAGCCAGGAAAGTTCAACAATGTTCCTGTCTTCACCCCCTTTGTCTTGGAGTTATAGGTATTTGTAGGACACCCAGCTTGTTACATGGGTGTTATGATTTAAACCCTGGTCCTCATGCCTTTGCAGAAAGCTCTCTCACTGCTGACCCTTCTCTTTAGCCCTTTGTTGAGGCTTCAATGTCACTTCCTCTGCTATGAAGCCACAATGAAACTTGCTGTCACCTACATTTTCTCTGTACTTTTTACCTATTCTATCACTACTATTGTGAAATTCTCTTTTTTTTCTTTTCAAGGTAGTGTCCTTTCTTCTTATTCTGATACTTCTCCTTTTCTGTGTCACAAAAAAGCAAGTTTTAGTTCACAGTGTTTCCCCAAAGTCCTCTCCAATTTTATGTTTTCATAGGAACTCAGTCTATCCAACACCTCACTCATGGCTTAATATGTAAAAAGAGGGAATTTATTGATTTGTCTAGTTATTTTCAATGTTTATTGAATAAGGCATTTCCCCCAATAAAAAGTTCTGACTCTGAAGTTTAAAGATAGTCCTGTCAGGATTGAAGCTTTGATTTCTCTTTATACCCATGGCTCTTTGAGTTACTCCTATGAAATTTAAAATACTATGTCAAGTGCTGGAAATAGGCAGTACTTCAGTGGGATATGGTAACCTCAGCCTCTCCACATCTTCTACCCTTTTCAGATTAGAATTCCAGATTGGTTGTATCTTCTCATGCAGCTTGAAGTGGAGGGTAGAAGTTCTAGAAGGGATTGTCTTTAGTCTCCTTCTGTTCTTTTTTGTGAACCTGAGATGTCTGAGGGAAATGATACAGCAATAGGGCAAGGTATATCCATGCTGTGTATTTTGGAGACATGGCAGCTCCTCTCTCCTAGGGTGAGGATCCATTGGGAGCAGTTCACTTGAGAGGCTGTGTGGTGACTTCAGTGGAGAGCAGCACTGATGGTAAGAATGAACGTCTGTGGGAGACAGGTGTGGCCACTTCTACCCTCTATCTGTTAATTTTGAGCCAATCAATCATCAGTGCCTAAATTTACTGTCTGAAAACTTTGGTGGATGCTGTGGCCAGCCTATGGGAGACCCTGCTCTGAGATGATGGATCGGAGGTGCAAGGCAAAGACCCTGGGGCTTGTGGGTCTGGTAACAATCAGGTTTTTATACATTACAAGGAGCTGGCAGTCATGTGGGATTTGGCAGTAACATACAAAGATTTCACGGCCCAATTAGACAAGAACTGAGATCCATAAGAGCAACTTGGCTTACACAGGGCTATGTGGCTGACATGTAGCTTTTAGCTGCTGCCAGCTAGGGGCTGTGTGTAAAGTAGCATGCTTGAACTTTTACTCAGGGTAACCAGTGTCTATCTGGTAATTTATTGGCCACAATGTTTTCTTTCTTAGGACTAAAAGCATGGTAAACTTTTAGCTTTTAGCCCAGGAGTAAATCTTTAACCTGGCCTAATCTTTTAGCTAATGATAGCTGAGTTGTTTGTTCAGGACAAAGAGGTGGGCTAAGGGATATTGACTAAGATGCTTTCCCTCAGAGCAAGGAGCTTAAACTTTTGACCTGGGCATTTTTCTCCTGCTATCCCTGCAGGGACCTGCAAGACAGGGATCTGAGCTGCTGTTTTTAGTGCCCCTCCCTTCAGCAGAGAACAGTAGCCTGGACTTTAAAAGTTTTAGGTTCATCTCACCCTCGGGAATGCAATCCTAGTTTCCTACAGGTGGAAGTAAGAGCTGTTTCTTCCTAGTAGCTGCCCTAGCCTTCCAGAACTGGGAAAAAGGGAGTGTCTTTGTTCATGCCTTGAGTATGTTTCACTGAAATGTGTTGAGAAGAATTCATCATCCCAGAAATGGCTTTGATGGAGAGCTTGCTAACAGCTCCTGGTGCCATGACTTTCCTTAAGGGAGATTTTTTTACTTATCTGCACAAGGAAATGCTCTTCAACAAAAGGGAGATTTATGCAGTGAGGCAGAATGCTAATTGGAAGGAACACCTGGGTGCAGTTAGGGCGGTGCCACATAGCCCTGTGTGAGCCAAGTTGCTCTTATGGATCTCCGTCCTTCCTCTGAAATGATCTCTGCTCTCTGCCAGGTCACATGCCTATGACTGATTCATGGATCGACCATGGGACTGTAGGTGGCCTTGTCAGATGCAGAGGACACACAGTCACTGGACATGTGGTTTCCACAACCCCAAATCTGGTTTAAATTTTTTTCCTGTCACTCATCAGACATTTTTTGTGTTGTTTTAATAAATCATATTTTGGATATTTTAAACATTTATAACATTATAGAGAAAAGCATGTTAACAATATGAAATGCCAAGAGTTATCACTATTGCATTTAAAGAGAAGCAATCTGGGTAATCACACTGGCTTCATCTTTTCATTTTGGACTTACTTGCCTTTTTATCTTTCAGTAAAAGCTCAGACTTAGCTCTTAGTTCAGACTATACATACCATACCCATGTTAGATCTAGTTTTGTTTTATTATATATACATATACATTTATATGCATGTATATATAAACATATGTATTTATTTAATGTATAGTAAGATTGTCTCTTGGCTTATATTATGAGCAAAAGGAAGCTACTCCTTAAACATGTTTAGAAGTTACTCATTAGGCCAGGCATGGTAGCACATACTATTAAGCCCATCACTCAGGAGGCAGAAGCAGGCCAATTTCTGTTAAACAGAGGCTAGCCTAGTCTACATAGTGAGTTCCAGCCTGCTGGGGCTACAGGGAGACCCTGTCTCAAGAAAACAAACCAAAAACAGAAGTTACTCTTTAGTCACTTCTGATGTGTAAAGGTGAGAAATCTAATTTACTTATAAATGATGAAAGAAAATATTTTTCTTGAGTTTATTATGTATTTCTGATAATGACCATACTATGTATTTACTTTACAAATTCTCTTCTCTCTCTCTTTCTCTCTCTCCATATATATGTGATATATATATATAGGTGATGAATATTCGTACTTTTCTTAAGACCCTGAGAAAAACAGGCATTTCATGATTTGTGAAAGAAGGGAGGAATGGGTGAATTTCTGGTGCCCTGGGTGCCATTGTTTGTTTTCTCTTTCACCAGGCAAGAAGAGTGATGAAGAGAACCTTTTTGAGATTATCACAGCAGATGAAGTTCATTATTATTTGCAAGCAGCCACTCCCAAGGAGCGTACTGAGTGGATCAAAGCTATTCAGGTGGCCTCACGGACTGGGAAGTAAGGACAAAGTTCAAGTCCTTATCCCCTCTCAAGGGATGCATAAGTGTGCTCAGTCTATGACTTGTTCACTTCTGTGATAATTCCCCTAAAAAGAGCCTAAGAGTGTGAAATTTCACTCAACCCATGTGCCTTATAATAATTATCTGCACTGCTGCATTCTCTGCAGTCCACTGACTCCCGCTGTGTCCCCAAGCCATGTAAGAAGCAATGGGACTTGGATATACTACTTAACCTTTCCAAGCCTCAGGGCCTCTTCTGCAAAATGAAGGCAGGAACTAGGAAGTCCTCCTTAGTTGAAGTCCTCCTTAGTTGAAGTCCTCCTTAGTTGAAGTCCTCCTTAGTTGAACCTCCTTAGTTGAAGTCCTCCTTAGTTGACAAAAGCAAAAGCAAATAAATAAATAAATAAATAAATTAAATAAATAAATAAATAATTTCCTGTGATTCTGAGACCCATGGAATTATATCTTCTTTAGCTGTCCTGCTGGTTGTAGTCAGATGTGCCAGAACCTGAGACAACTCTTCTCTTTGAGATTGTTAAATTGTAATGAAGATACTTGGAATTGACTTCCTTTGTTCTCCTTGGTCATTTTGCTGTTACTCTTGGTTATGAGATCATGTGACAAATTAAGTAGCGTGCTTGTTTACTTGTCCTCTTACCCCAACCCTCCCTGAGGGCAGCTTTTAGCTTTCTACGACTTTTTATGCTTTTGGAGGTGTATCTCCTGAGAAGAAAAAAACTAAGAAAGCCAGGAGTAACTGAGGGTCATTTCCAAGTACCAAAGCTGCCAAAAACACGTGAATTTCATTCTTTCTTGCACCTTTGTTCTTTTCTGGAGTATTTTTGCATCATTTGTTATAATTAGAAGGAAAGACCCAAGTCTCTGAGTTTCACGTTTACAGAAAAAAAAAAAATAGGTCATGTGGGTTCCCTTATCTCCCCCTTTGCAGAGAGTGGAGGAGCTGGACTGCAAGGCCAGCTGAGTTGATAATGGGCTTGTACAATATCAGCACAGAAAGCCTCAGATCTATGCAGAACTTATGGTAGAGGCTGTCACAATTGTGTAGCACCTTAAAATCTCCAATTCACAATACTATGTACTTCTTTAGTCTAAAACACTAGCAGTGCTGTCTTGGGCTTGTAGCACTTCCTAGGCCTGTTATTAGCCAGAGCTAGATAAAAATGGAAACATGTTCACAATTTTTCACCCTTATTACTACTTACTTCTTTCCCAACCTGAGAAAGACAATATCTTCAAAACCAGATATGTTTGAAAAAGTGTGTTTCTCTAACTCCACATTTTTAGTTCTGTGGTACCAGTAAGGAAAGAAAAAAATACTTCCTGGTTTTGTAGCTCCTCTTTTGCCTTTTGTCCACTGCTGTGAACATTCATGAGGCTCTGCCTATTTCAAGATTATTTTATCAATGGCAAGACGTAAAGGACTATCTTTTTCTCTGATTCTTCAGCACACTGTCTTCATAGACTATACACAGTAGTTTATTTATAGTCAATCTTAAAAACTTATTAATATGGAGTCAACCTTATTTTTTGAAATAAATATGATTTAGTGTCTTTTGGGTGTACTGATCCTGTTTTTCCCCTCTTTATAGTTCTGCCTTTTTATAATTTACTTTAAGTTTCTGAGTAATAATATCATCATTTCTCAAATAATTTGTATGAATTTGTGATTTTAGGAAGCAAAGTCAATCTATTCTAAGAATATTAAAAATATACTGAAAGTGAAGATAAGGCTTAAGGATATAAGCAGACTGTATCTCTGGATTTTAATATGTACCACCTTGATGATAATATTTAAGCAAATGATAGGATCCATTAAGCATGTATGAGAGTCCTACTTTAGGGCCTCTATGTATGGTAGACAATTAACTCCATTGAAGCCTAGATTTCTCTTATCCCCTGAGAATTTCATTGCACAATTATGAATGTATACACAGTGGCTCCATAAGTACACAAAACATCATTAAGGCGTCTTAACCTGAGCAGTTGATTTTGTTCATTCTGCATAATGAGAAGATGTCTCTCAAAAAGCCGATACTTAGAGAACAGATGAAGGTGTTAGGTCAATACCAAAGGTGTTATGTCTAAAACATCTTGGCCTAGAAATAAAACTCAGGCCCTATTAGTTACAGTATTTGAGCACTGGTTTAAAAGACATTACCCTCAGGGATGTGAGTGAAGGAATATAGAAGCTGATTATTCTACTTGGAAAACATATGGAGCTGGAGTTGGTCATTTTTTCCCTCAGGATTTCAATTTAAAGTGGGAGTAAAACCGATTTTTAAATGACCAACTGTAGAAGTATTTAGTCAAAAATATATACTCCAGATAAGGTGGCACACATGTACTTGTGAGGTCAAGGAAGGAAATTCATGAGCTTAGGACTGATTAGCCGTGATAGCAGTTAAGTTTCTCTTGTAGACACACAGATACACACACAAACCATGGATAAAATTATACCACAGTGAATGGCTTTCAAAAACAGAATGAGGAACTTACTTAGAGGAAGACAACAGTTTCTCAGTGCTTGTAAGTAGATGTTAAATTTCTCTGTCACTTCATTTGGACTCTTTGTGAAGACTCAGATAAGTATACTGTGTCCTTGACCCTTAGCATGAAAAAAAAAAAAAAAAAAAAAAAAAAAAAATGGGGGCTGGAGAGATGGCTCAGCGGTTAAGAGCACTGGTTGTTCTTGCAGAGGACCCAAGTTGGAATCCCAGCACCCACATGGCAGCTAGCAACTGTCCATAACTCCAGTTCCAGGGGAGTTGCCAGATTCTTCTGTCTTCTGCAGGCATTGCATGACACGGGTATACTTACCTACATGCAGGCAATATACTCATACACAGAAAAAATCAGAATAAAAATTGGTTAATAGTTCAGGTTTTATGATTACAGGGCTTCAAACTGTAGAATATATTAGGAGTAGTGGAAAGGGTAATGGAAAAATTAATTAAAGAGGGTTTTTTTAAAGCTAAAAGTTGCTTTAAAAAAACGGTATGGAATTATAGCCCTTGTTGGTTTTAGCCCAGTTTCAGATCCATGGGAACATAAAATTTAGAAGTCACTGGAGGCGAGAAAGCATGTAAGGCTATATGTGCTGCTTTACTTAATTTAAGCTGTGGTAAATTCCAAGGGGGAAATGCACACAGATGTTTGTGGGAAAGTCTTGTGATATGGTAAAAAATGCATTGGCCCTGGAGCCTGGGAGCTGGGCTCAAATTTTGGGTCTATGAATTAACTGCATTTGCAGCACATCTAGGTATCAGTTTCTGTATTAGTTAGAATTACATTGCTTTAACAAATGCCTAAGATAATCAGCCTGTGGAGAGAAAAAAAATCTATTTTGACTTACAGTTTTTTTAAGGATAAAATAAGTTTTTATTTATATTCTTATAGTAAAGGGGGAAGCTTTAACTTGCAAGACAATTCTTGGGCAGTATGTACAACATAGTTTTTATTTCCATGGACCAGAATCAAACACAGACTGAGACTAGAGTATACACTAGAAATCAGCAAATGCTGGGGAAGAGAGTAGGAAAAAAGACGAAGAAACAAGGGCTAAAGTCATGAAACCCTTTGCTGGGATCTGTTGACCAAAGACAGAATCAGGGTTGGATCACACAGTAGAGACAGGAAGAAGGAAGTGGGGCGAGGAAACGGCTGTACTGGGGTGTGTTTAGTACCAGGTAAGTCGCTCTTGGTATTTACATACAAAAATCAGTTGGCTCTGTTTCTTAGAAATACACACAGAAAGAAAGGAAGATTTGATCATTACTTTATGAATCTGTCGCCTTACAATATCGACATCATCAGAAATTGGGGCAATTCACTCAGATTCATATTTCAGTAGCAGGAAATAAATATCAAAACATCATCACTGGCCCTCAGTACAAAACCTCTACCCCGCCCACAAACAACCACCATACTGTTTCCCGGTTGCTGTCTCACTGCTGCCGGCTCCTGGGCTCCTGGCTCCTATACACACCACCAGTGTCCCACACCTCTCTGTTGGCAGCTGGCTCCAGGGCGGCAACAGCTGGGAGGGAGTGAGACATGCCAAGGACTCTGCAAATCTGTCCCCATTTCCCCTTTCCTTTCCTTTTTTTTTTTTTTTTTTTTTTTTTTTTGATCTTTTTGAGACAGGGTCTCCCCCTAGCGGCCGGCTAGCCTGGATTTGCTATGGAGACCAGGCTGGCCTCGAACTCACAGAGATCCGCCTGCCTCTGCCTGTGCTGGCGCCGCCACGCTGGGCCCCACTTTCCTTTTACACCACAGACATCTTCAAGGACCTGCTCTTTCAACAGGAATAATAGCTTTAAAAAAATATCCTTACAAAGGAGAAGGGATAATTCTGATTACTTCAGTCTGATCATCTTGTGAAAGTAGAACAGTTCAGAGATTCACAAAGTCCATCAAAGAGAGGTGAAGGGAGACCAGGAGTAAAGCCTCCAGGCACATGCTCCTTGGACTGAAGGAGCTGGTGAGGTGGGCAGGACCATGTATGTAGAGGTCGGGTTGGCAGTCTGTCCTCCACAGAAAACGCTCCAAGTTGGGGTGTTTTGATTTAAAACTTCCTGGCGGAGACAAGGGAATACAATTTAAAAAAAAAAAAAAAAATAGTGGACCCGGGGAAAGAGAACGAGAGGTGTTGTCCAAAAGCTTCTATGTAAAAATAACAATTTTTAAAAAGAGAAAAAGAAAAATAGAGTCTTTAAAATGGTTTTGAGAGTTCTAACGATGAAGTGGGAGGAGGATGAGACGATGACAGAAGGTTTTTATTGCTGGCCTGCTCCACAAGGCTTAGCCAGCCTCGGTCCGGAGTTTCTTCTTCCTTTGGGGCTCTTCAGGCTCCAATTCTGAGCTGGAGTCTAAACCCCCATCGAAGGCAGAGGTGCTGCTGCCCTTGGCATTGGTGTAGAGGCTGTTGTCTGAGGAGGGGTAGCTGGTCTGCAGTGGGGCACTTGACCTTGCCTTCTCCAGTGTACTGACTTGTTGCTTCAGAAGAGCGTTCTGCCGCTTGAGGTCATCGCTTGAGGTCATCGATATCTTGCTGGTGCATGTGTTTTTTTCCTTTGCATATACTGAGTCCCGCAAACTGTGAAAACGTCTTTGATGTGGTCCCTACATTTTCGTTCCAGTACATTACGATGAGCCGGTTTGTCAGCCGCAGACTGAAATCTCTTCTTTGCCCTCCACTTCAATGTCATCGTTACCAGTCTGGCCCAGGGAGCGGCCACTGCTGTGATGGCAGGGGAGGGGAAGTGGAGAAGGGAGAGGGAGTCACCACCACCACCAAGCCGAGCACCCCCAAGCACACACACACACTCACTCGCTCTCTCACTCACACACATCTGGCTTACAATTTTTGAAGTTTCAGTCCATGGTTGATTGATCTCTAGTTTTGGGCCCAAGGTGCCCTGCACTGTAGTGATAGAGAGCATGTGGCAGAGGAAAACAATTCAGCTTATGGCTGACATGTGAAAAGAAAAGAGGAAGAAGAGATTGAAGTCCTAATGTCTCCCAGAGCACATCCTTATGACTTCTAAAATTTTTCTGATATCTCCTGATTGAGCTACACAGGGAACCAAAGCTTAACCAAATGGGTCATTTTATATACAGTCTTGTTAGGAATTAGGAGTTGAAAGAGTCTCAGGTGGAAATGAAAAGTAACAGTCCAAGTTGAACTTTATTAGTCAGTGAAGGGTGACTACTGACCAGGGGGAATTTGCAGTAGCCACATTGTTCAGGGAGCATGTGAACTTAAGTACTTTTGTGTTATGTAATTAGAGAAATAGAGTCAGGGGAGTTGAGTAAAGGATTTAGTGTCCCCCCCCAACACACACACTGCCACACTGATAAAGGTCTCCAAAGGATTTGTTTGCACAGCTGTTTGTAGAGCAGAAACTGCTCTATGTTTGGGGTTTATGGGAGTCATGGATGGACTTGTTTGCAGACTAGGAATTGCTTTATGTTTGGGGGTTATAGGGTTGTTTTAATTTTTCTTCAATTACTGTGACAAAACACTCTGACCAATACAAACTTGGGAAGGAAGGGTTTATTTGGTTTACTTCTCCTGGGTCATAGTTCTTCACTGAGGGACCCTGAGGTAGGAACTCAGGGCAGGAACCTAGAGGCAGGCACTGAAACACAGGCCATGGAGGAATGCTGCTTACTGGCTTGCTCCCCTGCCCCAAGCCCAGTCTTTCTTATATAACACAGGACCACCTGCCAAGGGGTGGCACCACTCCTGTGGGCTGGGCCCTCCCACATCACTCAACAATCAAGAAAATGCCCCACAGACATGACCATAGGTCAGGCCAATTGAGGCTCCCTCTACCCAGGTGTGTCAAGTTGATCATTAAAGTTATCTAGCACAGGGCATACTATACCCTCATGAGGACTATATTTGGATGTCATATATTGGTCCAACTGCTTCCTGATGAGGGGGGGTCATCTGGGGGAGAGAAGGCTTCAGAGTCTACTGGAAGAGGCACATAAGAGGTCCTCTGGTGGCATGTAGCAGTCTTAGTTCTTGATTTGGTGTCAGGTGG